CAGCACCCCCTCTCTTTCTCTCTCCATTGTTCCTCTCATATGACAAAAGAACAGAGACACAGAAAAATATTTTTAATGCAATACTGAGTTACTTCCAGCATTCAATATTCCTTCGTTCACATTCACTCTAAGACTTAACTCAGGACTAATTAGCTCAATAACATTTTTATTTATTTTAATCCGTCATTTTATTTTATTTAAATATTTTAATTTTTAATCCGTCAACATATTTCTCTCATTTATCAATTCAATAGGTCACAAAACAAGTTTAATCTTTAGCCAACAGCCGATGTAACAACTAGAAGATTTAATTCATTTTCAAATCTTTCCTCTTTGTTCCCTCGTCTGTGTTTCTCTGTCTCCCCCTGCAGCACAGCCCAACAGAAATATGACCAATTTACCCACAATCCCGTGTTGTAGTTTTAGTAAAATCCCACGCATGCGCGATACATTCAAAAATACGATTTCCAGACAATAGACCGCTAGCATTCCGCTACAGCTTCACTATTTTACCCCTTATAATCAAACAATTACACTTAACAGAGCTCACATTTGCGTAGAACTCTGAAATTCTACACACACAAACAAATTTAAGAGGCTTTAATCCATCGCAATAGGCCCCCAAGGACACCCGTTAGCATGTGGAATTGGCCAAGGTGGCGCAATCAACATCTGACTCATCTCCGCAAACCATGGAGCCCCTGGTCGGTCGGGGGCTATCAATATCATTGACAGCCCTCCTGATCTCACCCTGGCTAGCAGTGGGAGAATGCAAGACAGCGGAGGGAATGCATACAGAAGAACTCTCGGCCACGGGTGGTGCGCGAATGCGTCTGCTGCCTACCATGAGAACCATCCACTACAGTACTCCTAAGAGTCTTCAAAGTGCGGTCTCTAACTGGTACCACAAGGTGGCGCCATGATACCTCTTTTTCACTAGTCACATGAGTCTGCTCAACTGCGCACTCTAGGTGGGCTGAGCTGTACTCAGAGTAGTGGGTATCATTGCGTTCTGTGTTAAACGGGGGCGCTGATACGTTGGTTACGCCTGTAAATCTAGTATTCCGGCCCTCCTTGAACGCAGTATGAGTCTGTACTACGCTGACTAAGGCATTAGCCTGAGACAGAGCGACATCCCCATATGTAGATCGCGTCATCATGTCATACTCTGACCGAGACTGCAGTCTGTGACATGAGGTCTCTCCTCGGTAACATAGGGCTGTGCCCTGATACCTTCCTCACACTTCCTCACATTCGCCTCCTGTGTATGCTCCATTACACACCTCTGGTGAGTCGGGCTACATACAGAGTGGTGAGAATCAATACGTTCTGTGAGAACAGGCGGCGCCGATACGTTGGTTACACCCGTACTCTCGTATTCCGGCCCTCCTTGAACGCAGCACGGTTCTGAGCCGCCCTGACTAAGGCATTAGCCTGAGACAGAGCGCCCTCTCCATGCATAGGTCGCGTCATCCTGTCATCTTCTGACTGAGACTGCAACCTGTTGTGAGAGACTCTCTTTACAGCACCCCTAAGAGTCTGTGACATGAGGTCTCTATTAGGTAATGCAAGGCGGCACCTTGTAACCCTCTTTTCACGCGCCTCTAGTGTTTTCTCAGCTTCGCACCTCTGGTGGGCTGAACTACACTTGGAGTGGTGAATTTTAACGCGTTCTGTGGTGAGTGGGGGCGCCAATACGTTGGTTACTTCCGTAACTCTAGTATTCCGGCCCTCCGTGAACGCAGCACGGGTCTGAACTGCGCTAACTGAGGCATTAGCCTGAGACAAAGCGTCATTCCCAACTAGCGGCTGCGTCTTCATGTCATATTCTGACTGAGACTGTAGCCTGCTATGTGAGACCTTCACTACAGTGCTCTTAGGAGTCTGTAGTGTGAGATCTTTATGAGGTGAGCTAAGGCTGCGTCTTGCTACCTTTTTCTCTCTCCTCTCTTGTGTGTGCTCAGCTACACACCCTAGGTGGGTTGAGCTACACTCAGAGTGATGGGAGAGAAACATAGGGCGTGAAGTACTCTGAACGTTCTCCAACGTGTCATGGAAAAAGGGCTCTCTCGTGACAATGTCAGTGGGAGCCAACTCTTTATTAAACACATGAAAACAAACATTTCCCTCCAAGCCCCGAACAGAAGGGTGGGGGGGAACAGTGGGCTCAGTCGCGTCCCACGACGAGCCATCTCCCATTCTCTCCCCCTCGTCCCGTCATTGTCTTCGCCTCTTCTGCGTCCCCTTAGGGTGCTGCCAGGGCGACTTGACGACAACCTCTCTCGCTGGCGGAATCGTCGTGACCACGGGTGCTGCTGGGGGGGCGGTGCCCGCTCTCCTGTTGCTAGTGGCCGACGTCTGACGCCTGACACGCCGCCTCACCGTAGAAGATCTACCGGGGGCGTTCGAGGTGGACGGTTTTGCTGGCGAATGGCTGGATCTCCCTGCCAATGGCAGGTGTCGAGCCAGCTGCTTCCTGTCTTCGTCTAACTTCTTAAAACGCTCCGTCGCCTCTTTGACAGCGACTCCAAAGAGCCCGTCGTCAGAGAGGGGGGCGTTGAGCAGCGACGCTCGGTCAGTCTCCTTCATGGCAGTCAATGACAGCCAGAGGTGACGTTCAATAACCACCGAAGTGGCCATGGACCTTCCCGCGCAGATAGCAGACGCCTGTGTCAGATGGAGAATAGCGCCAGTAATCCTGGACGCCTCTTCCACCTCCTCACTCGTTAACTCAGACCTTCCCGTCGTTAAACAGGATAGGGAGGCCGCAAGGAGGGCAATGTTGTTTGCTGCTGACACAGCCTGGGCTCCCAACGTAAAGGACTTCTCTGCCAGCTGTGCTGTGAGCCTGTCCTCTTATAGGGACACCTGTACTCCTATTGGCTGCAGGTGTGTACATAATTTTGTCTCAGGCTGATACTGCCTTAGGTCAGTGGGTATACCAATAGGAGCAGAGCTCCCCTATGGGGCAAAGCTCCACGATATAGAACCTGCAGTTGA